GTTTAGCTAGTATTCCCTCTTCTGGAATGTTCTATGCTTCCCATTGTTGTCCAATGGCAGTATTGGGGTTCTTCTCTAGGTTTTCCATAGGTGCTCTGTCCCCCACCAGCTGGGAAGCTGCTCTGTGCTGTGTGCCCCATTTCTCTCCTGCTTGGACAGAGGACTGAGCTCTGGGGGTGCACAGGTCACAGGGCCTCTTCTTGCTCATGTTTCCCCGATCCTTTCCCACCCTAGTCCTAAACCAGGTATTCTAACATCTCACCTTGGCGTGAGTTCTTATGTCTATTCTCGCCACAGCTGGCTTTAAGTAAAGGCTATTTTCTGAGAACTTGTGTGCTCATTGAGGGTGACCAATCTGGAGCCAGGCAGCCTGGGTTCAAGTGTGGCTCCACTTCTCATAGGCCGTGTGACTTTGAGCAAGTTATTTAACATCTCTTTCTTCACATTCCCCAGGGTTGGGATTATAAGGTTGGCCTTCAACTCATGTCAATCCTCCGGCCTCAGCATTGCCAATGTTGAGATTACTATCATATGCCAGCATGTCCTGCTTCCTTTGTAATTTCCAAGGGTTTACTTTTTAAGAAATTATATTTATTTATTCACTTAGTGTGTGTGTTTGTGTATGTATGTGTGTGTGAGATCCCTGAGTGTGCCCACGTGGAAATCAGAGGACAATTTGTGGGAATCAGCTTTCTATTTTTGGCTGTGTACGTCCTGGGATCCAACTCGGGTCATCAGACTTGGCAGCAAATGCCTTTCCTGCTGAGCCCTGTCATCTGCCCTTTGGTGACTTTTGGGTGTCTTTGCTCTGTTGACTTCCTTGGCTGTCAGCCTGAAGCCTGCTGGGCAGGTCCATTCATCAGTGTGTTGCACACACTAGGTTCTCTGTAAGATTACTGAAGAGGACATGCATGGTTCTGGTCCATGGAATTTGGGTCCGGTTGCCGGAAGAACTGCAGGAGAGTGTGTACATACTCTGTGTACACCTGCCTGCCTGCGTGTGTACTTGTGTGTGAGTGTGTGATGTGGAAGGGCACGGCTTGGGGAAGGTCTGTTGAACTTGACTCTATCGTTCACTCGACCTTAGCATGGAGGTGGGCGTGTGTGTGGAAGCTTATCGCCAGGAGGCAGAGACCCAGCGGCGACATATTAACAGTGCCTTCATGACCTTTGTGGTCCTGGACAAAGATGACCAGCCTCAGAAATTGCCCTGGATTCGTCCCCAGCCTGGAGTAAGTGCCCTGTCCCCAATTTCGTCACTTGTCACCCTGTGACAGTCCTGTCTCTGGCTCTTCACTGACGCACAACCAGATCAGAGCATCCTGGTCTTGACTCAGAGATTCCCCCAGAGATTCAGAGAGTAGGCTGGGCACCTACTCTGCCAGCCAGAACTGGAACACAATGGGGTCTGGCTGATGTTGGAGGATCATAGACCTGAACAGCCCACAGGTTGCAGAGAACCCTGGCTTGGGAACCCTAAGCTGATAGGGTCTCCCCCTTGCCACATTCTTGAACATGTATTTCTCTGAGTTTCAGTTCTTACCTGTTTGATTAGTGTGTCTGCAACTTCTGCCTGCCGAGATGTGGCTGTGGGGGACCAACTGGCTACAAAGCCTTGGAGCCTTTGAGAAGTTGTGATGTCTAGCATTATGGGGACAGGGCAGGGACACATGGATGCCTGGGTTCTGTGTCAGTGAAGACACACACTCTTGGCTTGCTGAGGGCCAGTTGGCTGTCTTTGTGTTTTTGAGTAGGGGTAAGACTATAGAGGAGGTGGGCTCTGAAGCTGGCCTTCTGAGTTCTGACCCAGGCTCGACCCCATACTTCTATAACCTTGGGAACCATTCAACTCACTCACTGGGGCTCCATTTCCTTCTGTGTAAACTGTGAATCGCAGGCTCTAGGTTCAGGAACGTGGAACAGAGAACAGGTATGATCTCAAGCAGAGCCCTGGTGAGGGCCTCATCCCTACCAAGTATCCAATGGATGTGACTCTGGGTACCACTCTGAGGTCCTTTCATCATCCCAGTGTAGATTGGGGGAAAACCCAGAGGCCCAGAAGGGGGCCAGGGTGTCCAGGGTCCCTAAAGGCTCCACGGAGCTTGGGTGCCTGACACTTTCCCAGTAAGGACGCTTTGGCTCCTGCTGCCCTAGTGAGATCTAGGCTTCTCTGTGAACTTCAGGGTCCTCTGGACACAGGGGACAGGGGTGGCAGAGCTATGGGCTATCTGGTCATCCCACCTGAACCACACACCTGTCCCTGCTTCCTTCCTAGGAGGGTGAACGGCGATACCGAGAGGCCAGCGCCAGGAAGAAGATCCGCTTGGATAGGTGAGTGGGTCTGGGTAACGGGAGGGACGTGCTCCACCGGTGACTCCAGGACAGTCGAGCTTCTCCAGGGATTCTCCTGGGTGCAGTACTGGGTTGTCCTCCCCCACTGCCTTTATTTTTGTTTGATTTTATTTAGAGATGGGATCTCATACTGTAGCCTAGGCTGGGCTGGAACTCACTAAGTTGTTCAGGCTGGTCTTGAACTCTTGGGAGTCCTCTGCCTCTATCTTATAGGCTAGCCCTTTGCGCCGTATACCCTTCTGCCTTCAGTGATGTCACATAAAGTGTCTTACTGCTCTTTTATACACCAGGACACTGAGGACAGAGGGTGAGGCCTCTTGTCCTTAGGACACACAGTTGAGTGAGCTCTGCTGTTGGTCCTGGCTTGATCTGGGTGTTTTTAAATCTTGTTTGGCCTGTCTGAGGAAAGGGGTCAATTCTCAGCACTTGTGGGGATGAGACAGAGGATTGCCACAATGCCAGCCTGGGCTATATAGGGAGCTCTGTCTCAACCAAAACAAATCAACTAGAACAAAACCCAGAAAGGTTTAGAGCACAGACCCAGTGGCTCATGACCTGCAACCTGGCATGTCTGTGTCCTCTGTAAAACTGTAGATTGGGGGGGCTGGAAAGATGGCTCAGCAGTTAGAGCACTGGCTTCTCTTCCAGAAGACCCGGATTCAATTCCCAGCACCCAAAGGGGAACTGATGCCCTCATACAGACATGCAGGCAAAACACCAATGTGTATGAAATAAAAATAATTCATTAAAAACGTTAAAAACAACAACAACAGCAACGACAAAAGTGTAGATGATGTAGCTGCGCCCAGTGTCTCACACACTGTATTCATAAGAAAGGTCTATATTTCTGGAACATTTACCATCTGCTAAGGACTGTGTTCCTCGCGAAGCCCCTCAGAAGTAAAGATGACATGGCTACCCTTCCAGAGGAGAGAGCACTGAGGCGTGGGCGAAGGGGAGCCCGAGTCTTGTCCTTTTGTCCTTGCCAGTCCCCTGTGAACTGTCTAGGGTGCTAGCTGAACCCATGTTCTCGGCTGGTGTTTTCTGGGGGTCACCATACCTAGTTGCCCTGCCAGGCAGAGTCTTCAACCCCACCGGGCTCAGCACCGTCCTGGCCCACGGTAGGCAATGACATCTGCTAAGAACAGTGAACTCCGAGAGACCCAGGGTGTTCTCTTCCCTCTCAGGAAGTACCTTGTGTCCTGTAAGCAGTCAGAAATGGCCCTGTCTGTCCCCTGGGATCCTAGCAACCAGGTAAAACCCTTTGTTTCTAAGCTTCCAGGGCCCCTTTCCTTTTCTCTGGTTGGAGTGACTTTGGAGGGAAACTTACAGGTCCAGGGCCATGGGAAACCTTTTCTGCTTCATGAATGCTATTCCCGGGTATGCCCCTGTTTTGCAAGAGGGAGTAGAGGCTCTGGTTGTGGCTGCTCAGGGCTGTGTGGAGGGCTTGTGGGAGCCTGGACACCTTTCGCAGAGCCCAGTCCTTTCCCCATACCAGCACAGCCCCATCCAGGGACCCCCGGGGGCAGGAGAAGGAAGCATTTATTGGTCGTCTCTTCCAGGTGTACCTGAGCTATTACAACGTGTCGTCTCTGAAGACGCTTATGGCCAAGGACAACTGGGTGCTGTCTGTGGAGTTCGGTGAGGTAACTGATCTATCTGCTTGCCACCTTCCTTTCCTTCATATGTAAAGGTGTTTAGCCTGTATGCATGTCTGTGCACCACACGCATGCCTAGGGGAGGTCATAAGAGGGTGTCAGATCTCCTGGGACTGGAGTTACAGACTCTAGTGGGCTTAGAAGCTGCCACATGGGTGCTGGGAACCGAACTCAGGTCATCTGGACGAGAAGCCAGTGCTCTTAACCTCTGAGTCATCTCTCCGGCTCTGATTACTGCTTCTTTTTTTAATTTTTAAAAATAATTTAACTTAATTTTATGTGCATTGGTATGAAGGTATCAGATCCCCTGGAACTGGAGTTACAGACAGTTGTAAGCTGCCACGCGAGAACTTGGAATCGAACCCAAGTCCTCTGGAAGAACTGCCAGTGCTCTTACCCCACTGAGCCATCTCTCCAGCCCCCGATTACTGCTTTTTTAAAAAAATGTCTCTGTTCTTTTTTTTTTTTAAAGATTTATTTATTATGTATATAATGTTCTGCCTGTATGTGTCCCTGCAGGCCAGAAGTTGGCACCAGATTTTATTACAGGTGGTTGTGAGCCACCATGTGGTTGCTGGGAATTGAACTCAGGACCTCTGGAAGAACAATCAGTGCCCTAAACTGCTGAGTCATCTCTCCAGCCCCTGATTACTCTTCTTAAACAAGTATTTTCAGCTGTGCCATAGTGGCTCATGCCTTTAATCCCAGCACTTGGGAGGCAGAGGCAGGTGGATCTCTGTGAGTTTGAGGCTAGCCTGGTCTACAAGAGCTAGTTCCAATTTTTGTCTGTCCGCACTGAGCTCTGTCAGAGGTCCATTCTCACGGGGCTGTGACTAAGTCCCAGAGACAGTCAAGCACTTCAGACAGCGTCAGTGGCAGCCTTGACCTCCAGAGCCGTTGTCTCCCAGTAGCTTAGTCTGGGGGCATGGCGCAGGAATGAGGCTGCCCTCTGTGCTGCGCAGGTCCGCCTGTACACCCTGGAGGAGGAGTTCCTGTCATTTCATTTGGAGATGGTGGTCCACGTGGACGCTGCCCAAGTCTTTACACTGCTTTCGGACCTGCGTCGGAGGCCAGAGTGGGACAAGCATTACCGGTGAGGGGACGATGCAAACGAAAGTGGGGGGAGGGTTGCCTGCTGATGATGCTAAGCCTCCCCCATGATGCTTTGTTCCGCTGACCTTCTGTAGAGATGGATCAGGCCATCGGATATAGTTATGTGCAGGGTGGCAGTAAAAGCCATGGGCATGTTGAGGCCCTAGGGAAGGGACTGAGCCTGGAATTGAATGTGGAGGCCTGAGTTTATCTGTTCTAAATGGCTGTGCGACCTCAGTCAGGTCATTTCTTTTCTGAGCGTCCGTTTCCCCCTCTTCTTAAGTTTTATTTATTCGTTTTATGAGGATGGGTATTTTGTTTTTTGAGACAAGGTTTCTCTGTGTAATCCTGGCTGTCCTGGAACTCACTCAGTAGACCAGGTTGGTCTTGAACTCAGAGATCCACCTGCCTCTGCCCCCTGAGTGCTGGGATTAAAGGTGTGCGCCACTATGGCCCAGTGTGTGTGGCTATTTTGCCTGCATGTTGTCTGTGTACCACATGTGTGTCTGGTGCCCATGGAGTCCAGAAGAAAGCATTGGATTCTCCGGGACTGGACTTACAGATGGTTGTAAGTTACTGTGTGGGTGCTGGGACTCGAACCCAGGGCCCCTGGAAAAGCAGCCAGTGCTCTTGACCACTGAGTCATCTCCCCAGCACTTATGTTTTTAAAAATGGCATTTGTGTGTGTGTGTGTGTGTGTGTGTGTATAGGTCAGCGGACAACTTGTGGGTTCCAGGGATTGAACTCAGATCAGCAGACTTGTTGGCAAAACTCCTTCCCACTGAGCCAGCTTGTGGGGTTGGGAAAGTTAATGTTTAAGGTGGTGTTTATTCAAGATCCTTGAAGTCATCTTCAGTTCTGCCATTGCCATGGCTCACTTGGAGCCTGCACTGCAAGTGTTTCCCTAGGAGACTGGATGGACTTGGGGACTCAGTGAGCTGCTTATTGCCAGCTGACTGTCCACGAGTGGCCTGCTCCTTCCTCCTGAGTCTGTCCTCAGCAGAGCGCTCGCTCATAGCCATGCACACCTGAGCTTTCCGTCTAAGCTCTCCTCGCAGCCCTGGTTGTGCTAGACTCGGGAGATGGCTCACAAGCAGAGCATGAGAACTTGTATTTGAACCCCAGGAGCCATGCGAAGCTGGGCATATGACTCATATTTGCAATCCCAGTGCTCCTTGAGATGGGAAACAGAGACAGGAGACTGACTCCTTGGAACTTCTAGGGCCAATTAGCCAGGCACACACAGGTGAATAGCAATGACCAATACTTGAGGATGTTGGTGTCCACAATGCATCATTAAGGGAATACCTGCACTCACAAACACTCATATTTATGTGTGCACACGCACATGCATGCACACACAGAGAAAGAGCAAGAGATAGAAAAGGAGAGAGGGGGCGAGAATGAACTGTGTCACTTTAAAACGCTGTGCCTGGGGAAAGCCGGCCTGCCAGTGGCGTGCTCTAGAAAGCTGAGAGATGACTGGTGGTGGGTGGTGTCTAGGCAGAGGAACTGCAAAAGATGGGTGGGTATGGACCCAATGAAGCATCACTGAGGGTGTGAGTGACCCAAGGTAAAAAGATCCCCCAGCACATTTCTCTAGCCCTGCACAGCCAGCCTGTCCCCAAGCCAGTGCTGTGTGCCTATGTGTCTGCGTGTGTCTATATATATATTTGCATATGTCTCTGTATACACATACATATGTGTCCAGGCAGCAAAATATCTCTTGTCAGTTCTAGAGGTTTGGAAGTTGCTTACAATGCACTTCCTGTTAACTTAGGTAATATATCCTTCTAGGGTCTTTGATAGTTGAAGAACAGTTATAATTACAGTTTTCCTTAGTTATGATAAAAGATAGATATAAATATTGTAACTCTAATTCTTGCTTGATACCTGTTTTGTTATATGTAATTTTACTATGTTAAAGTTAAAACCTGTTTTGTTATATGTAATTTTACTATGTTAAAGTTAAAACCTTCCTATTTATTTAGACAGAAAAGGTGAGGTAATATGGGATTCCCCTCTGTATGCTGTGAATGCTTTACCATTGATTAATAAAGAAGCTTCTTTGGGCCTATGGCAGGGCAGAATAAAGTCAGGTGGGAAATCCAAACAGAGCTATAGAGAGAAAGTAGGAAGAGTCAAGGAGATGCCATGTAGCTGCGGAAGGAAAAAAAATGCCATTCGCTACTCAGAACCTTGCTGTTAGGCCAGTCTTGTGGTGATGCACAGATCAATAGAGATGGGTTAATTTAAGATGTAAGAGCTAGCTAGAAATATGCCTAAGCTATTGGTCAAACAGTGTTGCAGTTAATACAGTTTCTGGGTGATTATTCGGGTCTGAGCCATAGGGAAATGAAAGAGCAGTCTCTGTCAACACATATGCATGTACCTGTACATCTGCTCCGGTGTGTAGGACTTTGTGTCTGCTGTGTGCATGTGTGTATGTGCACGGGCACTTGCATATACTCATGCACGCATTCATCCTGGAGGCCCTCTCCCATTCCCCTGGCTCCGCTGAGCTGTGCAGCGGTGAGGAACTCACTCCAGGACTGCTCAGAAGGCTGTAATCTGCAGGGTCCTGGCAGAGCTGTTCTCCTATTGAGAGCGGCGGGCGGTGGCTCCCAGGTCCTGACTCCAGCCTCCCAACAGGAGTGTGGAGCTGGTGCAGCAGGTAGATGAGGATGATGCCATCTACCACGTTGTCAGTCCTGCCTTGAGCGGCAATACCAAGCCCCAAGACTTTGTGATCCTGGCCTCTAGGCGGAAGCCTTGCGACAACGGGTGAGTGCCTCCATTCTGAGGGGTGCAGTAGGGGTGGGGAGGCCTCACCTCCCTCTTCAGGAGGAGCAGCAACTTGGAGTCAGAGCTCCGCTGCCCACTGGTGGTTGAAGTCAGACCCCCACCGGGTGTTTGTAGGCTGCTCGTGGAGTTCACCATGACAGCCAGGGCCTATACTGCTACTGTAAGCAAGGCAGTTCCTGGTGCTTGTGACTGAGGCTACCATAGTTAAGGCCACAGACATGGCTATCCCTTGGCCTCTGCCCCCTGGGAGCTTGTGACTGGCACCTGCAGCATGGGTGCAGCTAGGATAGATGGCATCTCTTTTCTGGAGATAAGGACCCGAAGAATGAAAAACCTCAAGGCACACAGATCCATGGCGACATGTGAGGCCTGAACCTGGTGCTGCTAACACAGATGCCCCATCTCTACAGCTGGCCCTGAGCAAGACACTGGGCTCCGAGGGACTAAATCCATGCCTGGGAACAGGACAGGGTCCCCACCTTTTCCTGTGGATGATCTCTGAATCCTCACTCTGACTCCCCTCCAGGGACCCCTATGTCATCGCACTGAGGTCGGTCACACTGCCCACCCATTGTGAGACACCGAAATATCAGCGTGGGGAGACTCTCTGCTCAGGCTTCTGTCTGTGGCGGGAGGGGGACCAGTTGACTAAGGTGAGGCCGGTGTCATTTCTACTCTTTCACCTATGGGTGAGTCGAACTCTGTGCTGTTGGGCTGGGACCCTTCCAGACCCAGACCCCTGCAACCTCCCAGTTTTACCAACCTGGAAAAGTCAGAGCATCAGAGACAAAAGAGACTTCATGGAGATTTAATCAGTGTAGTCAGTGAGCAGCCACCGCTGGGGCTTAGAAAAAGCTCTGGACCTGGTCTACAGAAAGCGCTGATCTGATTTAAAATTCTGTCTCATTATTTATTTACTGTGTCCCCCTTCTTGTCTGGGAGGGATTTATGTGGCTCTGAGGGCCTATAAAACCCAGCAGGGTAGTCAGTGTTGATTGAAAAGGTAGGGAGGAGGTGGGGTGGGAATGCTGCATCCTGCCCCCAGCTTGCAGCCCCTTGCAGCCCTAGATCGACTCTGTGCCTTGCCCAGCGGCTGAGTCGGCCAGCATTGCAAAGGACTATACAAAGCTGGTCCAAGGCTTATGCCTATCCTCTTTCTGTGATGTCAAGTGGATTCAGTGATAGGCTTTGGAGACTCAATTCCTGTTCCCCGGGGCCGCCTGGCCAATAGGGAGGTGCACAATGATCTTATCATATGCTGTGATAGGATAGCCAGGGTACCCCAAGTGCCTAGGTAACCTCTCAAAGGAGGCCATGTCTGCCAGTCGGGTTTTCTAACTGAGCTCCAAGGCTCAGAATGCAGGCGAGACTGACTCCCCACCTGCCTACTGCCCAGAAGTCCCTGAGTCTCCCCATTCTGCTTCCCTGACCTGGCTTTTCACCCTGCAGGTTTCTTACTACAACCAGGCCACCCCCGGGTTTCTCAACTATGTGACCACCAATGTGGCCGGCCTGTCCACGGCGTTCTACAATACGTTCAAGGCTTGTGAGAGTTTCCTATTGGACAACCGGAATGACCTGGCCCCCAGCCTCCAGACCCTCTAGGCACTACCCCACCCTGCCCCAGGTCTTACACAGTGCGTGGAGCAAAGCAGAGGCATTTATTCACCCTGACTCCCCGGGGAAGCCTTCCACATTAGATGGTCCAGTCCTACTGGGTGGTCAGTTCCTGCTCACATCTGCCAGCAAGTCTTCTCGGTACTCCTGGGGTATCCTGTAATAGACTCGGGTCCTGTCCATGGCCCTGGCCACCCACAACCCAGCCCAAACATCTGCATAGTTGTTCCCAGCCATGCTGTGGTGCACTGTGACCGTGGCTCGAGGGGAGGCTGCCAGCAGCCTGGCCACAGCTTTGGCTGAACTCCGGCCCAGTGGCCCAGCCTGCAGCTGGAAGGACACAGGTTGCCAGAGTCCCTGACACAGCTCCAGCATATCTGTGACCATCTGCTCCTGATAGCCGCTGCCCAGCACCTCTTCAGGCCAGCCTGGTGCCACGGTCACATGAGGGAAAACTTCAGCCACGGCTGTAAGCAGTTCTCTGCCGGCCACATGACCAGGGACCACAAAATTACCATGTGAGATTGTAGCCCCCACCCACACAGGCCAGGGCAGATGGCCAAGGGTGGAGAGGCGTGC